AAGGGCATAGGCGAGGACTATCTTCGCAACGACCTGTTCAAGCCATTCTCCCAGGAGGACCATCTCGCGCCCGGGACCGGTCTGGGCCTCAGTTTCGTGAAGCAGATCACCTCGCAGCTCAGAGGCCGCGTTACCGTCGACAGCCAGGTCGACGTGGGAACCATTGTGCGAGTCTCGCTGCCGCTGATGCAGACGCTGACACCGGCCGATGGCACCCCTTTGCTCGCCGAGAACGAGGGCGATTTCGACAAGCATGTTGCCGAGGCATCAGGCCTTCGTGTCCGTCTGATGGGCTTCGACATTGGCAGACGAGGCAAGCGGCGAATGCTGGACGGAAGCTACACGGAGCTGCTTACCGAGGTCGAGCGCACCTGTCGCGACTGGCTGGGCCTCAACGCCATCACCGAGGCCGAGGCGAAGGAACAGGAGCCCGACTGCGTCATCTGGATCGAGGACAGGCTCGCAGACTCTCCGCTGGAGAACCTCATGCAAGGACCGCCCTGCGTGGTCCTGTGCAAGAACACATTGGTGGCATACAAGAGCGCAGCGCAGTTTGAGCGGGTGAAGGCGCACAGGATCTTTGAATTTGTTGCCCAGCCGTAAGTATCAAGACCCCTTTTTGCCGTAACCCCTTCCTTCTCTCTTTCTTTTCTACTTGTATGCATCATCACCATTACTCGCACCATGACTTGGCTAACCCCCTTTTGCTTTCCGTCTTCCAGTCTGGGACCCCGAAAAATCGCCAAAGCCGTCGCATTGGCCTTCAAGCGCGGCCGCGAGATGAAATTGGCGCCCCTGTCCCCCATCAACCCGCGCCAGGAGTTCCTCCCCGTGGTTCCCGATATCCTGAGCACTATGCAGACGCAGCTGCCAGCGCCGACGCCGCGTCTCCAGGCTTTGCAGAACCTCCTCTCTGAGAACAGCGAGAAGACTGCTCCCACGAAGCAGGACAAGGCGGAGCCCAGTCCCGCCCCGGGTCTCGGCACCATCGGCACGACGACAACGGTAGCGGCTGGCGAGACGGCTGCAGAGCCCGAGTTCCTACTCGTCGAGGACAACAGCATCAACCTCGACATCCTGTCCATCTACATGAAGAAGCTGGGCCGGCCCTACCACACGGCCACCAACGGCGCCGAGGCCCTGATCGCGTACAAGGCGAACCCCAAGCACTGCAAATACATCTTCATGGACGTGTCGATGCCCATCATGGACGGCTTTGAGGCTACGCGCCGCATCCGTGCCTACGAGCGCGACCACCAGATCAAGCCGGCCATCATATTTGCACTGACGGGCCTGGCTTCGGAGAGCGCCCAGCAGGAGGCCTTTGGTAGCGGCGTGGATCTGTTCCTGACCAAGCCCGTTAAGCTTAAGGAGCTGGGCATGATCCTTCGGTCGAGAGGCCTGCTGCCCGAGGAGCCGCTGGTGGTGGTGACCAAGAATGGCACCCACGTTGCCTAAAGGGGCCTCTTCTTTTCTTATTCCTTCATCCTGACTGCAAGATTCCTTTATGGGCGCCGATTTTCGCCTCATTTTACAGACTAATTTGCTTCGTTCTTCTTTTCACGGCCTGATGTCCATCTTCTCATCTTTCATGATTCGATTTCTTTCTCATTTCGTGGTATCAGGGGGGTTTTAATTTCACGGTGTCACGGGCAACAGTACACAAGGGTCTCACAGGCCACACAGGCTAAAGGGAATAGGGACTGGACCGGGTTGCGTCTTTCATATCGTTTCATTTCACTTCACACTTTATATCTTTCTGTTCATGCATCGGTTGTACTTTTCCTTTCTTTTCGTACAGTCCTTTCTTTCTCTTAAGGCTTTGACAGGTGGAAGGTTCTTTCAATGGCATGTCGATCGATCGATACACGAGCGACGTATCCCAGCAGCACATTCAACAAGCAAGCGAGCACACGACATTCTCATTCGACATGTTTCATCGACATACCGTCACGAACACGACGCGGTTTTGTCAGGGCAAAAATCAGAGGTCCATCATAGACAGACATGGGATATGGGCATGGGAGGGAGTATACGGCATTTTTCAAGAAGGGAAACTATGACGATGCGATGCAATGCTTAATCTTTGCTTCTATCCGTTTCACTTTTTCAGTTCGGTACGGTTCGGTATGGTGCGGTTTACGCGGATTTGGGAGACGTCGGTATTTGCTTTTATTCAGTTAATCAGGTCATGCAATAAATATATACCGACAGTTATAAACATATGTTTCCCTGATAAGTATGTCCTTTGACGAATGTGTGCTTGTATGTACAATGTATGCAAAAACAGGAGACCAAAATCACGAAGACAGCAGCACAATCGGCTGACCGTTGGAGACGTTCAGGCAAAGCTGCCCATTGCCATCAGCGGTATACGTCGGCCCGTTGCCCGCGTCAAAGACATTCTGCCAGCTCCCGTTGGGCACCTGCGTGCCGAAGCAGTGCTGCGCCGAGCTCCCGCTGCCGCTGTTGGTGGTGAGGGCGACCATCTTGCCGCCGGCGCGGCTGAAGGCGTACGCCGTGTCGGCCACGTACAGGTGCGTGTGGTCGTTGTCGGCGAGGCCGCCCACGGCGTGCTTTGCGTACGTGAGCTTGGAGATGGCGTCGTACATGTCGGACTGGGTGTTGAAGCCGCTGCGCCAGAGGTCCTCTCTGTTGGCGGGGTCGTTGCCGCCCGAAAAGGCCTGCTCGGTGCCGTAGTAGACGATGGGGATGCCGCGCCCGAGGATGGTGTACGTCAGCGCGTTCTTGAGCAGGGCCGTGTCGTTCTTGGTGCTGAGGAAGCGTGGGTTGTCGTGGTTGTCGACAAAGGTGCCGAGCGCGGTGGGGTCGGGGAACATGCTGCCGATCTGGTCGTGCATGTTGACCATGTCCTGCGAGGAGCCCTGCTGGAGGAAGAAGCGCGTCATGGGGTAGTAGATGGCGTAGTTGAGCAGGCCCGGCATGAGGCTGGCGTAGGGCAGCATGTAGTTTGGGTCTCCGTCAAAGACCTCGCCGATGCAGTAGACGCCCGTGGCGTTGACGAAGCCGGGCCAGTAGTCTTGCTCGACGTGCTTGACGGTGTCGATGCGGACGCCGTCGAAGCCGTACGTGGACACGAGGTTGGAGACCCAGTCCTGGTAGAGGCTGCGGATCGTCGGGCTCTCGGTGTCGAGATCCGGGAGGCCGCTGATCCAGCATTCCTGGACGCTGGTCTGGTTGTTGTAGTCGATGTCACACTCCGGGTGATACGAAGAGGCTTGGTTCAGAGGAGTAGGACTATCGTCGGTGATGTTGGCGTAGCCCATATGGTTGGCGACGACATCCACCATCATATAGAAGCCCTGGTTTCTTGCTTGAGAATAATGCCAAAGGGGCAAACATCAAACCAATGCTGGGAAGAAAATACCTTGCTATGCGCGGCATTGACAAGACTCTTCAAGTCGTCTGCAGAGCCATAATGGGAATTGATGGAGTCAATGTCCTCCGCCCAGTAGCCATGATAGCCTCCGTCACTGTCTACCCATGGGTATCACAGAGTCAGCTACCTATTCCCTCCCGGAGCCTGTGTGCGACACAAGGCAAGGCAAGGTGAAACTCACTCGTCACAACAGGCGTGATCCAGATGGCATCAAATCCCATGCCCTTGATGTAGTCCAACTTGCTCTCCAGGCCTTGGAACGTGCCACCGCAGTAGTCGCCCAGGTTTCCACACGCACTGCCTCCCGTGTCACCGCTGTTACGAGCGATGCGGTCTGTCAGGGCAAAGTAAATGGTGCGGGACCTCCAGGCGGCGGTGTCCGCGGAGAGAACCGGCAGAGAGAGCTGCAAGAGCAGCGGAAGAGCGAAACGGAGCTTCATGGTTCGAGATGCCGAGGTCCGGTGGGTTGTCTGTGAGGAAGCAAGCTGCTCTACCAGTTGTCGAGAGACCATCTGTTCCCCCAGCATTGACTGCGCTGCCTATATATATAGTATAGCACGAGTGACTATAATCATGCTATTCCTCCCCCCTTTTGGAAAGAAAAAGGTAGCAGTACTAAGCCTCGCATAAACAGACTCCATCCACTCCGCGCAAAACATCAATATCCACGCCTGACGAAAGAGAAGCCCGCACCAAACTTACAGACCTCCTGTTCTAGGTAATCCCATGCCGCCGATCCCAGATCTGCTGAGTCGCCCACCAACCACGCGCCCCCGACAAAGGGCCGAATGGGACGACTTTCAAGCACGCGCAAGGCTATTCGCCAGAAGATGTATGAAACGAGCCCTCCTGTGATATTAGAAGGATTTCACGCCGAAGGCCTTCATGAAGCGAAAGAGCGCGGTCAAGGCGAGCGAAGAAGCAGCGAAAGAGAAGCCCAAACACAACATCAGCTATCTTCAGCAGCGGAAAGGTGGAAATTGTCCCTATCCTCTGGCGCGACAAGAGTCATGGAGTCATGGGCATCGCATCCCTGCCCGTCCTCGGTTTCGGCGCCTCTATTGGCGATGTCGCACAGGCGCCGCCATACAGGTGGCGTCGAACCGAACCGGGACTGCGGGGGGGCGCATCGACGCTGGAGAAGCTTCGGGAGCTGAGTGGAGAGACGGCAAGATTGGCAGGATATAGCTGAGACAGGAGGGAGGGGAGACAGGCGGGCCGACCGCCTAGATTCGCGTTTCACAAACTGCCGGCAGAATCGGCCTGTCACCACCTACCGATCCGGGCTCGCTGCTGCTGTTGGTCTGGTGTGGTAGCATCTAACACCTGGACCCGTCCAAGCAGTTGGCCGACAACCCGAGATCGCAAAGTGAATATGTACACAAGATCAGTAACACGAGCACAATGAGGCAGCATTATATGGAGTGCCACGCCATTGGCATAGCAGTGTGCGGAATAAGGCCATTATGTGCTGATCGTTTCTCCAGTCTCGGTGTTTTTGATAGACGCTTGCCGCGTTAGGTACCTGTCATCGGCAATTGTTAGCTGACAACCCCAACTTACACCGACGTCAGGAGCTACTAGACAGCTAAAGCTACAGCTACAGCTCCTAAACCACCACATCGCACCATCACCAACTCCTTCAACAACACCCTAAGGTATCTAAAAATCACCACCCCCAAAATGTCTAAACCGCCCATCCCCAACCTGCGCGACATCTCCGTCGCCAACCCCTCCATCTTCCGCCCGCGCCTCGTCCTTCGCTCTGCTGCCCCTCCTAACGAGGCCACCCCCGAGCTCGCCGCCCTCAACATTGACACCGTCTTCGACCTCCGCTCCGGCCTCGAAGTCTCCCACTCCCCGTCGTCCACCTCGTCCGACTACGCCTACGCCGAGCAGTGGCCCGGCGGCCCCCGCCGCGTCCACGCCCCCGTCTTCGCAAACGCCGACTACGGCCCCGAGGCGGTCGCCCTGCGCTTCCGCGAGTACGCCTCGTCCCATCCCGTGCTCGGCTTCGTCAACGCGTACCGCTCCATCCTCAAGTCGGGCGCGCCGGCGTTTGCGACGGTGCTCACCTACCTCGCGTCCGACGAGTGGGATCCCGCCGCTGAGAGACCCATACTGCTGCACTGCACGGCGGGCAAGGACCGGACGGGCGTGATATGCGCACTGATACTGAGCCTGTGCGGCGTTCCCGATGAGGACGTGGCGAGGGAGTACGGCCTCACGACGGAGGGGCTCAAGGATGCGAAGCCGAAGCTTGTCGAGCGGTTGACGGCCTTGCCCGCCTTTGAGGGTGATCCGGAGGGCGCCGAGAGGATGCTGAGTTCAACGTTAGCTTTTTGCCCCCTCCATCCCCCTACTTCCCCTGCCATCTCGTGTCGCTGACAACTTATGCTGACAATTGTGACAGACCCGAGAGCATGATGGCTACGCTGGCCATGCTCCGTGAGGAATGGGGCTCTGCTGAGCAGTACATGATTGACGAGTGCAAACTCTCGCCAGAGACTGTTGCTCGCATTCGACAGAAGCTCGTCGTTACGAATTAAGCTGGTAGACCGTCTCAGTGCGTTGATAAGTGTTTGATTTTTGTTATGAATTAGACTTGTCATGACGAATAGCATGTTCTTTGCGTTTCGTGGTATATATATATACAGCATATAGGCATACATTGGTTGTTATACATGGCTCTTGTGGCGTATGTGATGTGTCTCTGTATGTGTTAGTGGTACAACGTTGTTTGGACTGCCTCTCCACCCAGCCCAATTCCCAAACCCATTTCCCATCCCTTATCCCCCATTCCCTCAATTTATACAAATCTGTAGTCATGACAACATTCAAGGCACAGACGTAGGAATCTTGACCAGCCCGCGCTTGCGATCGTCAAACGGCGCTCCATACCTCCAGCCAGTGCCCTTTCTTGATCGGCCGTTGAATCCCACGTCGTCCGCGTTGATCTCCTTGAACCGGAACTCGTAGCGGTCCGTCTTGACCCTCGTCGTCGCCTCCTCCTCCCTACGCTGCTCGCCCGCGATGCGCCGCGCCACCCTGTCCTCTTCGTTCTGCGTCGCCTCCTTGAATTTGGCCAAGCTCTCCTGCCGGCTCTTGCCCTCGAGAATCTCCCGCTCCATCTTGATGAGCTCGGGCTGCGGTGATCGCGCGTCGACTGACAGCATGGAGTCGTGGAAGGCCTTGGCGGCGTCTTCTCGGGTGAAGTGCCGCGACTCCGATACTGGCACGAAGAGTTGCTGCATCGTAAGCTTGTGCACGTGAATCTCGTTGACCGGCTCGTGCGGCAAGTTCTTCTCGCCCTCGCGGTATGACGTCTTGGGCAGCATGTTCATGACGGCCTTGGCATAGGGGATTGCCAGCTTTTTGCCCTGTTGTTCATTGAAGTGGTCAGCACAATTGCATAGTCCATTGGAACGTTGCTGGCTGGAAGGAGTAGTAGAGAGCAAACGAAGGGTAGAAGTTTGTGTGCCATCAGAGAATATGAATCGTTTTTAACCATGTAATTGTGTCTTCAAGACTAATCGAATTTTTGAAATTTGTCTCATCACGCAAAAGGCACACAAAAACTCCCATCTTCCACTAGAAGACAAGAATTGGGGAAGCGAAAACATGGAAACAGGAAAATTGTAAAAGCTCACCTCTCTCTGCCACTGCTTCTCCACCTCCTTCAGCCTCACCACAGCTGCCACCCTCCTCACGTCAACGCCCATCTCCGCCGACACCGCCTTGAGCGACTCGCCCCTCTTCATCACCTTGTCCCATATCAGCTCCCTCGTGTGCTCGTCCAGCACCGGCTGGCTCCGGAACAGCGGGTTGAGGGGGAACGGCTGGTCCTGCAGCGGCCCCAGGTACTTTGGTCCTCGCGGTTCGGCGAACTCTGAGCCCTCCCGGCCATTGAGCCACTGGAACATCTGCTGCCGAGCCCTACTCATCTTCTGACGACACGGCGTCGAGCTGAAGGCCCGCACGAACGGTGCCGACTGTGATTTGCAGGACTGCGCAAGGCACGCATCAACCACGGGGGCCAGCGGCGAACACGTCGCTGATAATCTGGGCGCCATGGCGGCTTTTTCTTCTTCCTCTGTTTTTCTTCTTCTCCCACCTTCTTTCTTCGACTTCTACCTTTCACGTCTCTTCCTTTTTTCCCTCTGACAGATGGCAGTGAATCACCTGAGATTCTCGCTACTCAGAGCAAGCCAGAATCCAATCAATCGCTCAGAGGTCGCCGAGGCTTTTTTTTTGGTCGTATTGTTTTGTGAGCAGAAGCTGGACTGAAGGTAAAATATCGAAAAGCAAGCTTGTCCACAAATTTTCGGCTTCGGCGCCTCGTTCTTCCATCTCCGATTCGCTAAAGAAGGAGGGGTCAATCAATGCAAGGGAAACCAGCAAATGCGAGCTCGATGCAAGGGGAAGACGAGAACACCATTACCTAAGCACTAGCCCTCATCAGCCGCAGCTCAAAATAGCTTCCAATAGCTCGCCAGCAGGCTGTCCTGGCACCGGTTGGAATAATCGAGGGCGTCCTGCGATGGAAGTAAAGGGAAATGAGGGGGAAGAAAAAGGAATAAGGCGCCTGTGACTCGTGCAAATAGCCAGCTGCTTCACGTCCGCGTCAAACTATTGGCCGTGGCTGCAGCTGGGGTCAGGAGTCCTCCTCAGCCATTCATCCCGACTTGACTCGAGACCGCAAACTCTGCATAACCCTAACATGTCACCAGAATCAAGGGACAGGAAACCAATAGATAGGGCCTGGGAGACAGATATCCCGCATTTATTAAACCCGCCGCCACTCGACTGAACCGGCGCCAAGAAGGAAGCGTACCTACGTATATATGTGTAGAACTCGGCGTGCTCGCTGCCATACCTTGATGCGATGCGTAGCACTTTTGCCGGGCCAGAATAACAAAGGAAAAGATGGAAGTTGAAAAGAGAGAAAAATCATTATCCGTCCAAGAAGCAAGCAAAGTTCGAACAGGGTCGGCAAATCAGCCAGCGCTAGATCCATCCGCCCGTCAACACTTTTCTCTTCTTTCTTTTCCATGTGTTTATATCCTCTTTCCTTCCCCCCTCGATATCGTGGGTTGCCCCTCGCCCAATATGAAAAGCCGTTTTTGAAAAGGAGAAAAAAAAAATTCCTGGACTCCGGTGAAAAGCAATCCGTTTTTGTTTACGACGGCGACATTACCGGGCGGTTCTTTCTTGACTTGTTTTTGTAAGCCTGCTGTTGCGCCCTCTTTGTGGCAGCTTGGATCGCTTCGGCCTTGGCTGAGTAGTCCTTCCACTTGCGCCAACCGTCAAAGTCGATAAGTGCCTGCATACATCCCCATTCCATCACCTTGCGCTCGAGCCAAACAAAGTTGACAGGCTTTGCGAGGGAGAGAGAGAAAAAGGTCAGCGTTTCTGTGTTTGTACATGTCTAAAGAGTGTTAATGCAATGCTTTTGTTCACATACCTTGGTCAGGAAATCGTTGCAGCCCGAGGCCAGAGCTTCGTGGCGATCGCTCTGCAGCGAGCTAGCCGTGAGAGCAACGATAATAACGGGACTCTTGAACTTAGCAATGTTATCCAGTCGATCCTGCTCGGTAAGCTCTTCTTCGGCGGGTGCGGTCTCCGGGATGCTGCCCGGCGCCGCAGAAAAGACGCCAATGTTGTTGAGTCTTTCCAGCCGGCGGATCTCTCTCGTGGCCTCCAGTCCGTTCATACCAGGCAGCTGAATATCCATGAGCACCAAGTGAAAGCCGCCACTTCTCCACTTCTTGACAGCTTCGCTGCCGTTCATGGCCGTCTGCCACCGGACCTTGAGCCGCTTGACAAAGGCCTCCAGCAGCTTCAGGTTGATCGGGTTATCTTCGACGATGAGAACGCTAATCGGGGGAACCGTGGCAGTCAGGACAGACGGCGATGGGTTGTGGTGGTATTCCTGCTGCTGACCCCTCTTGCTCTTCTTTGGTCGTGAGCTGGGCAAGCGCGGAGATGCCAGCCGCTGGGGCGGGGGAGTGCCCATGCGAGCAGACGTCATTTCATGTCCCGGAGACTTGGGCATCGCGTTCGGGTGTGACACAATGTGCTCTGAAGAGCTCGAGTGGGTTCGTGAATGCGAGTGCCGAGGGCGATAGTGCTGTCCACCATGAACGTTGGACGCAGCAGCAGACGCCGAGTTGGGCATGACGGTATTGCTGCTGCTGACGACTCCCCCGTTGTGGTAATTCGGTGATGGGGTGTGGGTTCTTCCGGTTCGCGCGTAATCCTGGCGGTCATGACGCTGGTCGCGGTCCCTGTGGGGGCGAGCCCTGGCGCTTCCGGGAGAGGGAATGGCGGGAAGGTGGCCAGAGTTGATGACCGTCATGGAATGGGGTATGGATCCGTTGGGCGCGGCGGGAACTGCCATGCCGAGGCGAGGCGAAGACGCGTTCCCGGGGACGAGCTGGAAGTAGCCCTCGCCCGTTTCGGACGGACGCCCATCGTCGACGTAATAGCCCGCAGAGCCGGCATGGGGCAGCGGCGCTCGCGGAGAGGGCCTGGGGGTAGTCGAAGCTCTGGGAATGTCGATGACGAGAGCCTCCTTGACGGTCTGGCCACCTGGATAGTATTCGTCGATGGTATTTCCCATGTGCTCCTCGGGGCCCAGGATGCGACTGCGTTGAGTGTATTCGGGACCCTCGCGGGCCTGGATGCGAAGACTGAGGTCGGGCGAATCGAACGTCTTGCCCAGCGTGTTGCCGTACTTGCGCAGGATCATATCGCGTACATCGTCGACGAGGTCGTTGAGATTGATCGTGACTCGGGTGGGGGAGGCTTTGGGTCTCGTGACCCAGATCTTGCGCGTGGTTTCAACCATGCTGCTAGCATCGAAATCGACGAGGTCTGCTAGGTCGGCTATCGAAGGCGGATATTCAAGATCGGCGCGGTAGCGGGCGAGGGCGGGCTGTGCGGCGAGGGATGGGGAGGAATAATGAGGAGCAGCGGCAGGGCCTGCGGAAGAGATGTCGAGGATCGGAACGTGGGTTCCGATGGCGTTGGACGAGGCAGGCGCGATGCGTGTGTCGCGAGTGCTGTTCTTGGCGGACAAGGGTTTATCGGCCGATTCGTCAAAGGTGACAGTCTGGTTTGGATCGCGGCTTGCTCGGCGAGGCGGCGCAGAAGGGCGCGTGGACGTGAGGGCGGTGGCGGCGGCAGGATTTTCGGCAGAGATGGAGGAGGCACGAGGTGGCACGGGAGTCGGCAGTGGCTTGGTGGGCAGCTGTCCCGCCTCGGATTCTGCAGGAGTGACTGCTGGAGAAGCAGGAAGTGCAGACGATGCGGCAGTCAGGCTCAGTGGGCCATGGCCGGCGCCGGGCGTGGGCGGAGCGTCGATGCCGCGGCCGACGGTGGCGACGACGTGCTCAGCAGGTGCCGGCAAGGCGGAGGGGGTCTGCTGCTGGAGCTGCTGTTGCTGCAGCTGCGGGTGCGGGTGCGGGTGCGATTGCGATTGCTGGTACGACGTGGGCGGCTGCGAGTCCGACGGCGACTGCGACTCGTCCTCGTGGAGGATGGGCAGGATGCTGGGGCCGGGCGTCGGGGGAGCGAGAGGTGGAAAAAGCGACAGCGTTGATGGCAAAGGAGGAGATGGAAGCGAAAACGGTGGCGCTGTCTGGCGTGGGCGTTTCTGCACCTGTCTCTGCTGCTGTCTCTGTTTCTGCTGCAGATCGCCGCCAGGAATGGGGCCAGCAGGAGCCGCAACGGCGCCGCCTGTGCTCGTGCTTGTGCTCGCTGTATTACTTGTACCAGTACCGCCTGCAGCAGTAATACGAGCGCCGGGGCTGGCACTAGCAGCGTCGGTGCCAACAATAGCTCCCTGGTCGCTGTTAATAGCCGACAGGCATGCTCCGTCGAGCTGGCTCTGGTCCGGCTCCCTCTGGAGGCTCGCGTTCTGACCCATTGGGCTTCGGGGCGGGCTCTGGCCCTGAACGCTGGCCCCTGGCGTGGTCGGAAGCTGGTGCGGGCGCTGTGGTTGTTGCTGGCCTAGCGCTTGCGATGCCTGTACGGGTGCCTGTAGCTCTCCTGGCAGGGTGCTGGAATCGGCAGCAGCAGAGCCGGTAGAGCCAGCGGCAACCTCCATGTCCGCTTCTGCTTCCTGGCTAATGTCGACGTCCTCGTGCTGGCGTTGCTGGTGTTGCTCGCTGTCCCTGTCCTCGTCGTCGTCGTTGTCCTTGAGCTCGTGGCTGTCGTTGACCCCCTTATCCGTGACGACGCTGCCGACCAACATGGCCTGGGCTTCGTTCGGCAGCTGCGGCGCGGCGGTTGGTTCTGCTGGCGCCACTGGTGCTTGGAACGTTGGCGATACAGGAGAGACTGGCGAGAGGGGATTGATAACCACGCTGTCGGGGAGGCTGATGCGCTTCTCGGCGTCGGCACCCTGCTTGGACCTCTGCCACATCCTCCAATGCTGTCTCGTGCTGCGCTGTTCAGCGTCGTTGCCCGTCATCGCAGATTCACCCGCGTCACTGTGTTCGTCGCCGCCGGCGCTGCTGCAGCCTCCTATTCCTACTTCTCCGTCCCCCGTCATCAGCTCCAGAGATGGCGTCGGCGTCTGGGTTGAGGGCTCACGTGGGAATGGAAACGATGGCCTTCTCTTGCCGCTGCCGGGCGTCACTGGGGGCGACGAAGACTCAGGGGCGTCAATCGTCGACGCTGAAGACTCACGCCGTCCTCGCCGCCACAACAGCGTGTTCTTGAGCTTGTTAGCAATATCCGGCGCCATCTTCCTTGAGCCTCGTTTGCTGCCCGGGAGCAGAAGCGGGAGCGGCAGCAGGAGCAGGCGCAAACAAGATGAGGGCCATGCAAGAGAGACCAGGGGGCCACTCGAGTGAGGCAAAGAGGCCGCGAGGAGCGGAGATTAGAGAGTCGGGATCTGACGAGTCCTGGAGATTATCCGAGAGATAGAGAGGGTAAGGGACCAGGAGGTGACCTGAGAGAAGACGACGAGAAAAAAAAATAATACTGGAGGCGAGTATGCGTTAAGACTGATGAGCGACTGCTTGTCACGGAAGGGGAAAAAAAATAGAAGGAATGGCAGAAAGAAAGAGAGACAAAACAAGATGCAGGTCAATGGATGAAAAGACGGGAAAAGAGAGAACAATAGGAAGAAGAGACCCCAAGGCGAGGCAATGCGAGGGAACAAGAATCGAAAGTCGAGAGTCGAGAATCGAGAGATGAGAGAGGAAAGGAGAGGAGAGGAGAGAGTTGGTGGCAGATGGCCGATGGTAGATCGGAGATGGGAGTCGTGGCGAGTCGAGGAGAAACGAGGCAGTCGGCCAGACGAGGAGCTGGAAACAAAAGCCGCCAACCCTTAGGGCATCTCGACCGCGCATGCACCTCGCATGATCTGTCGTATCCTGGGCGCTTGGACTCCGTTGCTCCTGCTCCCGCGTGGTTGTTCGGGGCTCGAGGAGGGGAGACGAGGCGACGAGATGAATCAGTGCAGCAGTTCAAATTATGCGAGTGATGGCTCCAGTCAGCAAGAACGCTGGCACGGTACGGTGCGGTGCGGTGCGGTTAGCAGGTAGGTAGGCACTTGGCGGCAGTACTGTACTTCAGTGGTAGTGGTGGTGGTGGATGTGCAGTGGTTGAGCTGTCTGGGAGCTTGTGCTGGCCGTCGAACAAGGAGCCGTGCCTCGCTCGCCTTGCCTTGCCTCGCCTTATTACCTTGCCTTGCTTTTTCACTGCCTTGCCCTGCCAGAAACGACGAGCCAAACGGAACCAAGCCAAACGAGCTGCAGCCAATGGATCCAAAGACAGGCCAGTGCAGGCACAGGTACCGGTACATGCCCTGGACGGAGTACGGGGGACAGGGATCGATGGCTGCCGACAGGGGTTGCCGTTGATGCCTGCCTGGATACCTGTAGGTGGGTGAATACAGTGCTTGTCGCCGGCCAGTGAATAAGGTAGCGAGGTCAACGTATTGAGAGCCACCCGGCCACATTGAACAAGGCGATGAGGCATTCACTCAGTACCCAACGTTGATGGATTCGATCCAATGCTCGGATGCATCAAGTGCGATGCATGTCCTCGACGTCCGTATGGATGGGCTGGGCATTCAAGGCCACGCGAATGAGCAGCCTTGGCCTTGATCTGATCCTTGTAGGGGAGTGGGAGGACCCATCCCATCCTTGCCTTGACTCGCATCGCCTAGCATGGAGCGACCCTTTTTTTTCCTCGATCCCCCCAAGCTCAAGCTTCCCTCCTCCTCATCCCCATGTCCCCGTCTCCGTCCCCGTTTCCGTCTCCGTGCCAGTCCAAGTTCGCAAGATGTGCTCGAGCTAGCTAGCATTGTGTGTCCTGATGCTCCGCAGTGGCTGGCTCCGTTGATACTTCAAGCTTGGTGCATGTGCTTCTCCGAACCTACATGTGCAAGTGCTCCGTACGATTACGAAGCATGTACATGTACAGCACAAACAAGCAACATGATTGAAGCTCCGGTGCCCTGGTACCTATCCCTGTAGCAGTACCTCGAGGTGAACGAGACGATCTCCCGGTGGTTCATGCCAAACCAGCTCAGGTGGCCATCGCTGCCGTCACGTTCGCCGGTCTTCGTCCTCGTTAATGTGATGGTAGCTCAGGTGGCTGCTCCTTTATTGACAGCCGCTGAAGCTACAGAACCGGCTACAGGGGGGGAGAGCGAAGGGGGGAACAGATGGGAAAGGTAACGCGGAAGGGCAACCCAGGCCAGGGTAGGGAGGATGCGTGCGGGCCCGGCCAGTTGAGGCTGCCGGAGCGAAGGGCGATGGATGGGAGCAGGGCCTATGATAGGCGTCCCAAGCGGATGCGCCGGGGGCAATCATCCGCCTGCAAGCCAAAGACAGTCGAGGGCAATCAACCGCGACAAGCCTCAAGTCAACCCAGCACCAGCACCAACACCAGCCAGACATTCTCCTCTTCTGGCCGCTGGCCGCCAAAGATGGGGAGGCTCAGGACGGTGGCGCTGCACCAAGATGGGCTTGATTAGTGCTGGCTTTGGCGGGAGGCGTTGCGTTTGTTTGCCGCGGCAAAGTCCAACCACCCATGTCTATCAAACATCTGGTTTCGCGCATGAAACGTGGAATCTCGATTCGAGCGTCATGTCGATGCCGATGTCTTGATTTTCGTTGCTTTTTTGCCCTCCCTGTGCTCATGGGCCCATGCCACGGGACGATAGCCATGGGCGATGGAGCCGTTGGCATAGAGTGTCTCATTCTGAAAGCTTCCATCTTTTTTTATGCACCGGAGCACAAAAGAAAGGCACCGATCGAGATGTCCATCTCCATCTAAGCCCTTGGTGAAACAGCCCTGCACGTGTGTGTGTTACTCCGCAGAAAGACCTGGAGGAAGGTCGAATGGCCTGGATACAAGATAAGATGAAGGTAACGACAAAGAGAACAAAGAATCTGGGTAGAGAAGGGGAGCGAAAGGGGAGTCTCGCTGCGCTTGGCCCGGTGCTGGCATTATGCCCGCCTGATCCCGTACAATTGAAGTAATACCACCTCTACCACCGCACGAAGCATTATACCAGCCAGCATGCGCATCTGGTGCTGTATACGAGAAAGGAGGGGTGCGCCGCCTTATTTGCCGCTTTGTGATGGCCGCCATTCCGCCTAGCCCTGTCGACCCTGTGGTTGCAACGCTGCCAGCCCGCCCCGTCCAATTCCTGCTCTGGTGCATGCAGCGAGCAAGCACGAGGCTCAACGCGGAAGTGCCAGACATGGACAGCAGTCAGCCGTCACCCAGTGATCAGCTCTAGGGAGGGGTGAAGGGCATGCAAACAGATTGCCGCTTTGCGATCCCACTGGTAGCGATACTCCATGCTCTGCGCAAATCGCAGCGGCAGATGATTGTGTCTCGCAGTGACTGGACCTTGGACAGCAACGCCCCCCTCACACGTAAAATGGCTGTGCGTGTCACAACAGGCGCCGCGGCCTGGCTCGAGCTGGGCGGGCGTTGGTGCGCGCATGGGCTATTGCTGCAACTATCGTACGAGGACACCAGCCTGTGAGGTCCCATGTTGGCTTGTTCTGCTGCCATTGACCACGGCAGCTCACAGCATGAGCCTTGCATCGCATCAGATATAGCCCTCGTAGGGCTCTCCCTGTAAAAGTCTTTGAGAGCTGGCGTTTGCTTCATTGCGTGCGTACCAAGTATAGGTAGAGAAGAGCACCTGTGGCATGGAAAGGAAAGCCCGCATAGCCGCTGACACGTCCATGTCAAACCAAGAATTGACAGGTATGGATGGGACAATGTGATGCATCACAAAAGAGCAGCTCGGTCAGCCACCAGTCTCAAACCGGTCCAAGTTGACGTGCCCACTGCGGCCTCTGAAGAATCCCGCCAGCTCTGCTGCACTTGTACCGGTACCGCGTCGAGGCTCGATGTGTTGCCACCAATACGGCAGTGAGGGCATCCCATACGACGTACCCAGGCGCTCGCTTAGGTCCACGATGACCATAATGACGATGCTGCCCAGCGGCATCTCTTTGTGCGTTTGCCTCCCATTGTTCGTTCTTTTTGTACCTTCCATAGTCTCCATCGTTCCATGTCTCTTTCATTCTCCCCTCACCGTGTCTTTCCTCCAAGAGGCTCTCATAGCTACCCTGCAGCCAACGAGGGGGTTTCGACAAGGAAGGAGAGTAAATACTTGTAGAGTCAACGGGAATCCAGACCTCGAGGAGGGGCGCGATGATCTTGTCAAGTCGGAATAGAGTATGTATGTCAATGCTAAAGGCCAGCCAGCCAATCTTCTCCACAACTTCTCCTCCGCGGGACTGGCTAGCGACGCTTCTCTGGTGGATGCTGCGAGTGCTACGAGCACTTGATGCAATCGAGTGAATGCCTCCTCTTTGTGACCTGCATTCAGCCAGCAAGAGATATAGTACCTCAGCACTATATTTGAGGCATCTCAGACCTCCTAAGCCACTGAGCAGCTCCAGGGATCCATCAATACTGTAGCAGACAGTAATATAGAGGCACCTTATGTAGGCAGCTGTCCACATGCATGCTTTCGTAGCTGCACTCTGTAGGCGCCGCTGACAAAGTGGTAAGTTGAAGTTGACCGAGAAAAGCGGGACCAGTCCAGTGCGATAATTCCGTGGCTTCGCCCCCACTCGAGCTCTTGCTGTGCTGCTTCGTACCTGCATGGGGAAGTGCCAGCACACAAGCTCCCGAACCTATCCGCTCCATGCTGTCTCGCCGTCCTCTGCGTTGTCTCGTCTGTCTCGTCAACATCCAACGAATCTCTTCTCGGCAGGTCTGCAGCCTCACTGTCTCACCCGCGCATCACTAGGTTGGGCGCCAGGGAGACGAGGCAGCCAGTCGCCTCAAAATCAGGCAAAGCGTGCTGTAGCCAGCCAGCATCAGCATCATCCTCGTGCTACCCAGTGCCGTGGTCTCCCTCTGTCCTCCGTGGGGCTCTCGCGGCACAAGCATAACCACAGCAGTCTTTCCACCATGCCGGCGTCGGTGTCATCGCCCTCCCCAGAGCTGCCGGCGGAAGCCACTCCCGATGACAAGGATCCTCAAGCCGCCTGGGATAGGCCTTTTCCCCGACGCCTCAGGACGCCCGCTAAGCTCGATCGCCTGAAGGTGCGGAATCGCCGTCACGAATACCTGGTCAAGACGCCGTCGTATTTTGACAATCTGGACCATGAACTTGCTGGTATGGTATCTCATCTCATATTTCTTGTCTCACCTCTCCATTGACGACCGCCGGGGTTCACCTCAACGATCCCGTGGCACCTGAAAGAGAGAGCGGCCTGCCGATATCCCTCCCATACTTGACTTGATCAAAAAGCCAACTATAATGCGATATGGTGTAGATCCTATTTTGTATGAGCGCCTCGTCAAGAAATTTCAAACTCCAGCCGAACGCGAGGCAGATGGAAAGGCCAAGGGCTATGGTCGCACCCTCGAAGCAGATCTCGTCAGAGGGGAGACCAAGCTAGCCAACATCCATCAGTCGTCTGAGCAGCAGCACGACAGTCAAGGTAACAGCCTAGAACTGGACAATTCGAGAGTGGTGGGCGACGGGGGTGCAGGTACCAATGTCTGGGATGCCGAGGCAGAAAACAAAGAGCATGGCATGCAACTGTGGCATGCCTACCTTGAGGCCCGCTTCGTGGAGGGGATGGATGAAGAATTCGACTACAGCCAAGTCGATGATAATTATCAGTATGATACCATGGCCATTCAGGACGCCGAAGATGCCTGGTTCGATAACGAAGAGCCAAGCTGGGCGGAATGTGCCTCGCAGTCTCCCGCTGGGCGAGGAGAGACGGGCATACAAGACTTTTGAGTTGCGACTTTTCGTTTCATAGGCTGATTTGGCTGAGAGCTGGGTAAGAACAGAAGCTCTTTGGGTTGTCGGGAATGATATTGTAAGCTCCGGTACCGCAGAGCAGGAAACCGCTGCAAGCATCTCGCCGAGTGCTGTCGATCATTAAGTGCCAGATGTCGTATTGTAGAGTCTGTCCGTAGAAGTCTGTCCGTAAAGGGTTGTCCGCAATAGTCTGTACGTCAATTCTCGCCCGTACAAAACCGTACCAGGGCCGTTCTGTATCCATAAAGGTCTGCGTTTGGCCAAGTCTTTGATCGAACTGAATCGTAATTCTTCATCCATACCCGCCACGAAACGGGCCTCAGGGTAGTCATGCCACGATTGCATACCATGATCTCTGTTTTCCGTCTCCGAGACTCAGGCAACAGCGTCATCCTGCTCCCCCTCTCGCTCTTCACTCCTCTGATGTGTATTGGGTATCCAACGGCTTTGGCATATTCTCCTTGCCATTCAAATCTCGTGTATGTTATTGACAGCAAGTGAAACACTGCACATGGTATGACGTATACGCCATGCAGAGAGGGCCGAATAAACCGTGGTACCACTAGGTATTGGCAGCTCTGTTCGACCTGCCTGATTGAGAGGGGAAATAGTATTCTCCACACAGCTTCCGGCGACAACCTGTGCTTCAGTCTCTGCCGGAGTGAAACAAGAGTATCACTGACAACGAGAGATAGTGTTGATATTGCAAAGCTGTGATTGAGCAGCGGCAGAGCTTGTGTCTTTCTTCAACCTCGGGGGGTTGATGAGCCGATCGACCTCGGAGGTCGTGCGAGTACAAGTATACCACGAGACGCTGCGATCTGATGCTGGCTGCAGCATGACGGTGATGTAAGCGTCGGTAGGCTGTCCACTATAGACGTTCGAAAAGTGGTTAGTGCATGTCATGTGTCTGAGATGGGCCAGAGGGAACCTACAGCTCGAAAGTGGCATGTGGAAAGTCGTCACCATCCATGCGAGCATATAGTAATCGCTCATTGACATGTCCTTGTTCATCTTGCCGAAGTTGCATCGAAGTCTCCTTTTCTTCGATCAATCAAACACTTCCGCGTCCTTACGTTCTCAAATTCAGCCCTGCACCGGATATCTCGATTCGTGTTGATGTATTGTCAGCTCGTCCGCCCGCAAGAGCTTCCCCATGGGCAGGCTTCAAAACAGGAAAACCCCCCTGTTGGCCACCGGCATCTCAGGCGTTCTGTCGGTGCCGTGGTGCCATGGGACGCAATGAGACTCCGTATCCGTCGGTGAATAGGACTTTAGCCGGCACTTTCTCATGTTGGAAGAGAGAGGCAAGTGGTATTACTGCTCCAACTCTGAGCGAAGCTCGACTGCGGGGCTTTTGAGGGAAACCCGGAGTCCGATTCTGGGGTCAACCTCGTCGCAATGACATATTCTTTGGCAATTCGTGACAGGGGCTGGAGGCGGCTGCCGTCAGCATGTACTCCGTATTGTTCGCCCAACCGACGGGATTATCGGCCTGCGTCTTTTCGGCATTGGGTTGAGGACTATAAATATGGCGCGGCGCCGAGGGAAGTGAAGATGGAGAATCATTTCGACCTGGAAAAGAGACGACAGTACTAGGGTGTGATTGGTAAAGTCGCCCGTCAACATGCGTGTTTCCCTCAACCTAGCCTGCACTCTGTTGTGCTCAGGGGCTGCCGTGACCGCGCAGTCACCAGTTGTGAACCTGGGATATGCCACATATCAAGGCTCGTCATCTGGTGGAGTCAACAGGTTCCTGGGTATGCGATATGCTGCAGCACCGACAGGAGACCTGAGATGGAAAGCCCCAACGGCTCCTCCCACAGTGTCTGGAGTCCAGTCGGCCACTCAAGTGTGTTCTTTCAACCCCTCGTTTGATACTTCTCCTTATGGCTGATCCCTCGTGCAAAGTTTGGTCCTGTCTGCATGGCCGTGAATGCCGGGCCCTCGCCGCAGGGACAGAGCGAGGACTGCCTCTTCGTCAATGTATGGGCTCCTTCAGGCGCTGGTCCCGGCTCCAATCTGCCAGTCTGGGTTTTCATCCAAGGTGGCGGATTTGAGAGCCTGGCTTCCGCATCCACGGATGGCAGTGGAGCGGTGGCCAACTCTGGAAATAACATCGTCTTGGTAACGCTGAACTACCGAGTGGGAATCTTTGGTTTCCTGGCCAGTTCTGAGATTCAGGCCAATGGAGTAGCAAACGCCGGCCTCTATGACCAGCAAGCCGCCCTGCAGTGGGTGCAGCAACACATTGCTCAGTTTGGTGGTGATCCGGCGCACGTTGTCCTCCATGGCCAGAGCGCAGGTGCAGAGGCGGCATCGCTGCAGCTTGCTTCATTCGGGGGCGAAAACCAAGGTCTTTTTGTAGGGGCCATGTTCGAGTCTCTCCCTGAAATCACCCAACCGACGGTAGCGGAGATCCAGTTCCAATATGATGCTCTTGTGGGCAATGCCGGATGCAGCTCCAGCTCTGATTCCCTGTCTTGCCTCCGGGGTCTCAATACCACGGCTCTGCAGCAGTTCAACGTGCCCATCGTCTATCCTGGCAGGCCGAATGCTCCCAACTACCCGTACGTTCCCTGCGTGGACGGTGTGTTTCTTCAGACCACTGCGTATGAGGCCTTCCAGACTGGAAAGTTTGTCAAGGTTCCCGCGTTCTTTGGAAGTGTCACGGATGAGGGAACGACTTTGGGGGCCCCCAACGCGTCATCGCCCAACGAGATCGAGACCTTCTTCCAGAACAACTACCCCCGGTTGACGAGCCAGAACACGTCTGCAATCATTCAACAGTATCCTGAGGACATCGAGCCTCCGTTCAACGGCCATGCTGCCTGGTTCCCTGCTGCGGAGCTTGCGTATGGAGATGTGCTCGTCACTTGTACTGGGCTCAACTTTGGCAAGTATTTTGTGCAGGCAGGGCAACCCATCTGGACATACCGCTTCAACGTATTGACCCCGACCAACATTGCAAACGGAGTCGGCGTCCCTCACGGATTCGATCTGGGCGCAGTTTTTGGAGGAGGTTTCGAGGACTCTGACCAAACCAACGTGGCTCGTCTGCAAGGAAACTACATCTCCTTTGTCCGCTCGTTGAACCCGAACACCTTTGCCTTTTCCGGTTCGACGTCTTGGCCGCAATGGAATGGGCAGGCGGGCGGGCAGAGGCTCGTAATCAACAACAACAACACAGTGGTCGAGACTGTTCCTCAGGATCAGATGAACCGATGCGCATTCTGGGAGAGCCTGGCTCCCGAACTGGAGATCTAGTCGTCCTGATGCAGTGACAATTGCAACATTGAAGTCACTTTGCGAAGTCGTACACGTTCGCGAGCTCATGTGTATGGGTGAATAGAAATTCGAATGCGATGTGAGCCGTGAGTTTTGATCCTAAATCGGTGTCAGAATATGCAGACTTTGTGAGAGATCGTCGAGTGAAGAAGGCAGATACGTACTTGTTGTGGGATTAGGTCAAAGACGTAGAGGTTGGTTGGTAGAGACGAGGCGCTCAGGAGGTTGAGACTTGACAAAAAAGAGTTGTTCGCCGTGATTCTCCCCTTGCTTTCGTCTTTCAGCATCGTTTTTCTCTCTCGCAACCTCTCTTTCCTCCCCTTCCACTTGTGCTGTTTCCTTCCTCTGACGGTTTCCTTTCCTTCTTTATTTTTCCTTCGCTTTATACTTCTCTTCCAATCCTCTATCCCTGTTCTTTTCTTCTTCTTCTTTCCTATTCCCTAGTTTTATCCTCTTTTTTCTTCTTCTCCGCTTCTTGTTTTTATTTCCTTTTTTTTTTCTTTTCTTTTTCTTTTCTTTTTCTTTTCTTTTCTTTTCCTTTCTTGCATTTTTCTTTTCTGTGTCTTTGCTTTCTTATTCTTGTTTTATTTGCTTGCGTCTCCTTACCCTCCTGGCACTCTAGACTATTGAAACCATATATTCCTTGCAAACAGGAGAAAATGGGGAGCTTGTGTGGTGGGATGCGGCCCCATTAGCCTCCAACGCACCCTTTTGAACACGGAAACCTGCTCAAGAAAGATGTAGGACAATGGGCGAAATGAATGGATGACCAGTAAAAGGCAAAGGTGGTGGGCAACCCGAAGTTGCAGGTGAGCATGCGCCTACAAGAGCACATATGAGGTAGAAGCATACGGCAGCTAGGCCATCGGCATGCAGATCCGGATGAAGTTGATGGCAACGGTAGTGAGTGATGGTATGAAGCAGGACGCGTGAGAGGGTGAACGGATGCAGTGATGAGCGTGCTCGAGGGCATTCGAGCTTCTCTCTGGATAGCCATAGTGGTTGGTATTTGGAGAACTGTGATGGCGGGAGTTACATCGAGATAGCCCAAGGCACTGGTGGTAACAACTTGGATGAGAAAATACAAAATCAACACTTGGTGCTTGGAGTTTCCTCGATGAAGGGTGGGAAGTGAACGAACATTCATTGCAGACGCTTCTCGAGGGATGATAAATCGTACATCGGCGGATACTCGTGAATTAATAGTAAAAGAAAGAAGTACGAAGTCTCAGGTGATGAGAAAACAGACAGGTTGTTGGCATGTTGCCTGGCTGTGCTTGAGTTTGTTTGGTTGAAAGGAGTTGAGCACGAAAGGGAGTTTGGAGAAGGAAAACAAAAGAGGAAAATCAACTGGTCACCTACCCCAAAGCATTGTTCGCTTGCCCCACACCGTGGCTGCCATTCTTGCTGAAGGGCTCGCATCAGTGACGTGTTTGTCGGCTGTTTTCACCTGGTGACCGCTTGATAGGCGAGTTTTGTAGGGCAGTTGCCCCCTATATGTCTCCGGGATGGTGAGAAGGGCAAGTGGTGAATCATGCATTCATCGGCAAAGTCGCAAGAGCATCTTCTGTGACTGCCTATTGCCAGAAACGATTGGTAGAAGTTGCAGGAAACTTCTGCCTAAGGTATATGATGCAGAAGTGAGTTTCCTTGCAATATGTGGGTATCTCTTCACATTGCCTGCAGTGTCTTGATGGCCTAGAAACATGGCGGCAGTCTCTGAAGCTGCTTGGACAACATTAGGACTGAAATCGCATCCTTGACGCATCAAAATCAATATGAATATCTGTGCGAATCTGCCACACACTGAGAGTATAGCCAAGCCTCAAAAGAAGCTGTGCTCTGGCCTCCCTATGCCAACAGAATCCATCTCCACAAAGAGCCCCCTCCACCAACTTCCTTGGTTATCCCATGCCCCCCGTTCACAAAAGTCGCATGTACTCAGCAGGCAACGAGTCATATCTCACTCATAGTTCGGGAGCTTGTTCGTTCTTGGATCTGAGCTGATCCATATCCTGTGGGTCAAACACAGTAATTCGACGACCTTTGATATCCTGGACGGCAGCGATGGCCTCCCAGACAAGAGACGACTTGATCCGACCAACCTCGCCAGTCTCTTCGACAACCGAATTCTAATCGACACGATAGCCGAGGTATACTTCGTTGAAGCGAGCATTGATCTAGATCCACGAGACAAGTTGCAATTTCCAAAGAGAGTGGGGAGCCCTCTGAGATGGCCGTGACACCAACGAAGCCCAGCTCTTCTGCCGACCTGTGGCGGGTGTCTTGGTGGCGTTGGGATAGTCGTTGTCGATTGAATAGGGGATGATGGCCCATTAGGTCACTGCGAGAGAAAATCAGCGTGTGCTTCACTTTCTGGAAACTAGTTGCTGGATCAAGTAGGTTGCCTTATACATTGATGCTCATGGCATTGCGAAAGGCGGGCATTTCCAAGTTATGAGTGCCGTACATTGTCTCCATCTTGTTAACTATCACTTACGGTTTGCGTATTAGAACGGTACACTACAAGGACTCGAGATGATCTACCTCTAGAGCTTAGGTACGTCTAGAGCTTTGCTGTAGAATGGACGTGCTGAAAAGCTGGCAGTTTCCCAGGTTTCGCCTTGCCAACCACTTCCTGGACGGTTTTCCCCATTATTACTTGGTCTTCAAGAAAGCGATACCATTCTTCGTTCCCACGTACTTATAATTTTCTGTACAACTACTCCGTTCCGAAATACTAATAAGGCCTAAACCTTACGTCCGCTTCGAAGGACAGCGATGGATACGGGGGCCAGAGGCTTCGACCACCAGTACCTCCCTATGACGTTCACCAGATGTGCGAAGATCGTATGTTTGAAGTGGAAGTTTGCCGGCCGTTGATAGGATTCTGATACTCTAGAGCGACTTCCATACCTGCAGGAACACTGGACACTTTTATGTATCAGACATGTTGCCGTGATGTGTTGGTATTGGCATTCTTCGTTTACCGCCCCTGAACGAGCACATGAACGAACGTAGGGTTTCTTCCAATGGGGCATGGTTAACTTCTTACAAGTAACCTTAACAAAGACTCAGGCCCATGAGTGCCTTGACCCTTGTTCCTGCATGCAAGGTATTGTATCGACGTCATTCGGATTGGTAGCTGGACTCGTCCTCAACCGACACTAAATAAGCTAAGCAATTAGGCAACTATTCCTGGGGACAAATCGAGCAATCATCGTCAGTCAATATATATTGTTTTCAGCGTCTCCGCCAATCCGTCTCTTGATTGTATCAAGAGACTCACCTCGATCATTCCCATCAGCAACGACGCCGGTAGAGGCAATCCGGAGAGAGCATCTCCGAGACATCTGAGAACTTGGGACTGAAAACCCTGAGCTGGCGCCCCCCTACTTTCAGCAACCGACCGGCTCGAACTCTATTACAGCCACCGATCATGCGTGGCTCAAGCTGAACGCCAAACGCTCTTGAAACCGGGGTAGACCGGCAGATGATTCGCGGTTGGATACAAGGGATGGACTTTGGGGGCCCTGCTAGTGAGATCTGGACCCCGTTTGACCCAAGGCCTTGGAATGTACCCCTCGTGGACCTCAGGCGTGAATGTAGGTGGCGTCGGGATCATGACAACAGAAAGCGAGCTGTAAAGGCTTACGCGGGGTAAGCGTAAACCGCCAGTCAAGCCTCTATTACCAATGTGAATTTACTAATATACTAGATATAGATCCTATCCTGCCCTTCTCTCTGCATCGGTTCGCGTCTCTTGCGACTCGTTTGTGTGCGGTGTCTCACCCAAGCATCAACGCCAATGGCTACACAAACGGCTATCCAGATGAAGGGCCCTGGCAAGGCCGAAGTCGTCACGGACACTCCCATGCCTAGGCTTCGCGACGACTACATCATCGTGAAAACAGCGGCCGTGGCACTGAATCCGACCGACTGGAAGCAGATTGACTACCTCGCCAGCCCTGGGGCGATTGTGGGCTGTGACTACAGTGGTGTAGTAGAGCGGGTTGGCCCTGCTGTCAAGCATGGACCACATGTTGGCGATAGAGTTATGGGAATGGTTCATGGCAGTCCGTGATCCTTTTGCAAGTTGGAGGGCACCATATGATATGCTGACACTGGTGGTTTTTCTTTCACCTCCTAGGTAACCACTCGAACCACGAAGACGGGGCGTTCGCGGAGCATGTCACTGCGAAAGGGGATCTTCAAATCAAAATTCCCGACTACATGACATTTGAAGAGGCTGCAACGCTAGGTGCCGGCATCATCACCGTTGGCCAGAGCCTCTATGAATGCCTGGAGCTTCCCCTGCCCGATGATCCTCCCATGCGACCCTTTCCGGTGCTGATATACGGAGGCAGCACGGCAACAGGCACCCTTGCCATTCAATTTGCCAAACTGTGAGCTGCACAAGGTCTATGTAAATGTCCCAGTATCAAGCCCTGACTTCTTGTACAGGTCTGGCTTAGAGGTCGTCGCGACGTGCTCCCCTCCAAACTTTCATCTCGTTCGCAGCCTCGGCGCGGACTACGTGTACGACTACAACTCACCAAGCTGCGCCCCCTCGATCCGTAAGATTACCAAGAACCGGCTCGCCCACGTCTTCGACACCATTTCCACGCCCGAATCGGCAGAGCTATGCTGCTACGCGATCGGCAGCTCAGGCGGCAAATACACTGGCCTCAGCGGCCTGGCGGAGATTCCACGAGATGACGTTAAGAACCTTCACGTCATGGCCTACACGGCCTTTGGAGAAGCCTTCGACTTTGGAGACGAAAACATTCCTGCGGACCCCAAGGAGTACGACTTCGCCGTCAAGTTCATGGGCTTGGCGCAGGGGCTGCTGTGGCAGGGGAGGATCAGGCCGCATCCGCAGAGCATCAGGGCAGGCGGGTGGAAGGGCATCCTGGATGGGTTGCAGGAGATGCGGGAGGGCAAAGTATCGGGCGTGAAGCTGGTGTATCCGGTTTGACAGAGACGGGAGGAGCCCTATAGGTTCTGGCTTCATGAGGATTGACGTATGTCTCTCTGCTTCTTTTTTCTTGTGCCGGAGTCTGGACCGGGCTGATGATATCCAATATACGAGGGGGTCAGATGTGCGATGCTCATGTACGATAGGAATACGAATGTTCTTAATTTGATACCAGATAAACGGAACAAGGTCTTTTACTGTTATCGAATGTGCTGTCAGTTGTTCAATAGACCCGAGGTACCAAGCCCAAGGGACATCATACAATTAACTACCAAGCCAGTGATTTCATACTCTCGTTTGTTCAGTCACTACTAGTATCTCTGAGTTCTGAGGCCACCAGAGTACGTTCAAAAACTTCCTTTGTCTCTTAAGCTGATTTCTCTATGGGCAGAATCTAGAATATCTACCAAATGATGTGGGTATCCAGTACCAAAGCCTCTCTCCAAATCCCCCGAGGGTGTCCAACCATAGCCGAATGGTATAGAAAGAGATCGAACAAAAAAAGTCAAACGCCTATCCTTGCACCCAAACGATCCAGATGTCTCTTTGCCCTGCCCAACAGCACACTCCCGCATCTTCATCTACTCTTGATAGAGACCAAAAGGGGGAAAGGGGATGGGAAGTAGAAAAAGAAAAGCCCCCCAACGCCCGCAGTGCATCTCTAATGCAGCTCAATATCCTCCATGAAACGCTTAAATCTATCATTTGGTTGGCGGAATTGATATGACTCGCCTCGGACAACTCGGTCAATTTCTTCGCGAACAAACGGAAACACGTCCCGCCATGCATTGCGTCCCATCCAACAGTCTAAGTGGCCATAACCCGGTACAACTCTCCGTCTATACTGGATGCCTCCGCCGGGAAGGCCGGCAGATATTCCAAAGGCATCGATCAAGCGCTCGTACGTCTTCTCTGTAGATCTTGGGGACAGGACGCCGCTGTCCTGGCCGGCGAAGAACAGAAAGGGAATGCCTCGGAGGCGCTCCACGTTCTGCGGCCCTGTAAGCTCCTCATACTCGGGAGCATTGGTGCTCACCTCGCCGCGGCTCCCCATTCGCTTCAGTAAACTCATTAGATTCATGCTCGCTCCGCCAAAGAAGCGATCGATGTTCCGATGAGTCGCCTCGTTGAGGTTTTGGTGACTCCAGCAACGCCCAAACAGCAATGTTGTACGATGGCAAGCAGCATTCCTGCACATTTCGTTTCTCTGTTCCGGGTAAAAGCGAAGCAACTGATTCAGAGCTCGCTGGGCCACAGAATCCTCAGCCGACGTGTCAAAGTCCATCCAGTCCCCCAGCAAAGAGTTGTATATTCTGTCCAAAGCCACGGGTGAGGTGGCCTTGATCATGTTCATAGTGTTCCATATCGGATTCATGAACACCTGGCTGCAGGTGATTCCCAGAATCCAGTCGGATGGGATGGTCCCGTCAAGGAGACCGCAAGCAAAAGCCACAGATCCCATGCAGTGGGCAATGGTGTAGATCTTCCCGCCACCGTAAATGCTGCGGATCTTCTCGAGACTTGACTTGATATCGAGCCTCGAATCGTATGTTGTCCACGCCTGCTTCCGCGTTGACCTCAACTGGCAAATACGATGGACAGTAACAAATACGCGATAACCAGCTCGTGTAAAGTAGTTGACCGCGTTGAAAGGGATGGTCGGCAGGGCAAAGATCTGATGGTCAACGGACGCACCGGGGATCATGAAGAGATTCTCAGTCTTGACCGGAGAGCCTCGTGAGTTAGTAGCAACAGCACCTGGGCTTGGCTCCCACATATGCAGCTCAGTTTCGACTCCGTCGTCAGCAACGATAGCGTACGATTGTGACGGAGGCGTATAGTTGATATAGGAGACAAACCCCTGCTCTGGGTACTCGAGGCTGTTCAGGGGCGTGAAGAAGTGGGACAAAGATTTGGACGTGAAGAAGGACGTGAACTTGGACATGTTTGTGGCTCTGTCGAGGAGACTGCTGCCCGCAGGAGTGAGTGTCATCATTTCCGACAAAAAGTCCATTGGGTGTAGATGCAGGATGCCTCTTGCGACCAGCTTTTCACTGGCATAGATGGGGATGTCCTCGTAATAATCGGCAATGTCATCATCCAGAATGTCGGGCTCCTGGCTGGTATGGATGCAGTCTTGCTCGTGGACGACCTTTTCTGTTATGACAACATACAGCGTTGTAGTAGAGCGCCACATCTGAAGAGGACTCAGAGACACAGAGGCATCAACCACCTTGTAGCCACGAAAACGAAGGCGTCGACCATTGGCACCAACCATATCGCAGTCGTAAGTCAGCCTGCTGGTTCCTGTGACTTTCTGGCTCTTCTTGAACAGCCCCAAGTCTCCTCTTAGTATCATGAACGGCGATCCTTCGATGCTGGGGCAGACAAAAGTGCCGGTAAGCATGCCACTGGGTTGAGATTCATCTCGAAGGCTGGTGCTGTCAAAGATTGTTGCACTAACAAGCAATCTGCCAACCTCACCGCCACCTTTGGCAGCGCGAAAGGCAGATTCAAAGGCGGCCGTGTCTTCGACTGCCGCGTCTGACGAGGCTTTGTGTACGAAACCCGACATGAGCTCTGTGAATTCGATGCTCTTCAATTTCAGCATTTTGGCCATGCTCAGTATTCGGTCAGGAGCTTCGGGGCCAGAATCACAGTAGGTCTCGGAAGAGCGTCGGTCTCTTGGCTTGTAGGCTGGCTTGCCAAAGAGATCCAAGACATCGTTCTTTTTCTCGTTGATGTTGAGGCCGTTCGCTCTGGCATACGCTTCGACCGTTCGTTCCGCGAGGGCCGCAATAGTTGCAAGAGGATTCACTCCAATCGCGGCAGGAATGAGGGCCCCGTCAGTCACGATGAGGCCGGCATGGGTCTCTGAGGTGTCGTTGCCGATGAAGACCTGGCCTAGGTGGTTTGTCGCGCCGTTCGCCCCCGTGTTGTCCCAAGACATTGGAGCTCCACTGTAGATAGAGTGAGAGACGTTAGAGCCAATTCATACCGCGAGTCTATATAATGAGGAGGGAGCCTCGTACCCAAGAGGATGTGCCGTGATCTGCTGCTTGTTCATGAGGTTGTAAAAGGGGGTGTACACCAAAGTGCCGCCAACAGCATCTGTGGCCTTTTCGAGTATGGCATTGAACCTCTTGACTCTGTCACTTTTCCCCACTCCGATGAATTCCAACACCGGCTTGTCGTTCTTTAGACTCAGAGTTGCTTGGCTCCCTAATCTGGTCAGTAAACTCGCCATCTATCCCGTGTCGACTGGTGTAAAAGAAGTTGAGCTTACCATCGTGGGACATGATCAAGAATACCTGAGTGTTGCTTAGTGTCCCTGTCTTCGAAAACGGTCCAAGCAGTCTGCTTTTCCACACACCCATCGCCTGCTGGGCTCGCTGGAGAAGCGGCATGTCAGGGGCATGGCTTCCCGGCATCAGGTCCAGCATACACTGCAGTAGCTGGGAAAAAGCTTGTGGCATGGCGCCCTCCTGAATAATGTAGCCGTTGAGCGGATTCTCATGGCCCTTTCTGTTGTCAATGGCAGAAGTGATGGTTGGGCCTACGGGGTTTGCAGGATCCGGCGATGGCTTTCCGAGAGCGTTCACTTCTTGTTCGCAGTTGTGTCTACATAACACCAAATTGTCAGACTTTTTGAACACCCGAGAAGAAGGAAGAGATATATATAAATCTTACCCGAATGCGAGCACATCTCCGTTGCCGCTCATTCCGCGGCCAACCCAGTCGCTCATATTCAAGCCCATCTGCTTGCTCCGTAGCAGGATTTCCGTCGTGCCAATCGCACCAGCTCCGAGAAAGACGGCCTTCTTTGCATGAACCCACATCAAGTCGCCGTAGGTATCATCTTCTGCAAAGCGGTTGCGGCCCCGGCCATGCCAGGCGAAGTAGATCAGATAACCGCCCCGATCATCTTGGACTTTCTCAATGTACCGCACCTCGCACTTACAAAACATGTCGGCACCCCAATTCCATGCATCGGCGAGGTATGTCACCAGCGTTGTGGTTTTCGATCCGTCATTGACGCCCGTGGTATCTTGTCCAGTGAGCGTCGATGCTTTCATGTTGACGCCGGAGCTGTTGGGGCCGGACCGGAAGCGGGTTGTAAGAGGAACTCTACGGAGCTTGTCATCCAACCCGAGGACTTTGGCTTGATGATTAAAGATGTCCATCTTCTTGAGTGCTGGCCAGTCTTCCGGATAAGGTTCTGGCTCAAGCATGTCCCTGACTTTTTGGTAATCTGCGTATTGGGGAGAAGAAGAGTTAGTCCGAAGGTGTTCCTGTAAGTCCTACATAAGATGGATTACAGGAAAGAAGTGTATAGGTGGGAAAAGACAAAAGAAACAGCAATTACTTGCATTCATCCAAATTGGTTGGGTCGTTACGTATCTCGGGCGGCCAGAAGCCCATCTTGAGAACGTCTTCGTCTGCTTCTAGAAATACATTCGAGTTGATGAGGCTTGTGCCACCGAGACCTACAGATTGAGGTAATGCAGTGTCAGTAAAACTGAACGAGGAGTTACAGACTGGAAACGTCTCTCGAGCACTGATCACTTACCATTGCCGACAAGAGCACTCTGATCACGTCCAAAGAACAGATGATACAAGCCGGTGGTGTTTCCGCTGTCAACAGCAACTCCACCAAAGGAGCTCGGAGTGAAGTCTCCCGTAAGACGGAACTGCTTCGCTGCTTCCATGGTAGTCGTAGGATATTCTCCCGGCCATTTCTCTTCTCCTCGTTCCAGCAAGCAGACCGACTCGCCTGCTCGGGCCATGCGTGATGCAGCCACGGAGCCTCCATATCCGGAGCCTATGACGACGCAGTCATAGGAATCTCGCAGAAGCTCCACAGATTTCGAGATCCTGGGATAGGGGTTTGCACGGGGGCCATCTGCGATGAGGCCGTCTTGAGGGCAGTCCGAGATGCCTGAAGAATCCCCATCTTCCGACTCAAGAGATGCGGTTAAAGGAGGAGTAGGATACATTTGCTCATTATACAAGCATGCATTTGGCATCCCTATAGGCAACAAATGCTGATATAGACCGGCCGTAGGGGCCCCAAAATTGTCGATCTTGTTCGACTGCTTCTCTGCTGTTTGGTGTTGAAATGTAAATGGAGAAGGCTGGCGGTGCTTGTGCGCAGAGCCATATCGATATACTCCATCCATTACCACCAGAATTCTCCGAGGTCAGAACCCCCGGACTATGAAGATGCTATAATCGGCGTGCCTGGGCCACGCCAGCTGCAGCTCGACGGCGTTGGTGGATGCAGAGACAATAGAAAAGACGACGCTGTTGGTTCCTCCGCTAGTGTTTAGCCGTCAATTGATGAATAGAGAAAGGGGGGCCGTCCGAAGCAACAATGCAGAACTAGCAGCACATGGAATGGCCTGTGCTTCCTTCGAGGAGACTGGAAGAACGACGATGAGATGGAATGCGAAGTCGTCTCCTTTTTAACTCCGGAGAGTACTCGTTTGCACCATTCTGCTGCCAGCTTTTCAGCCGCCACAGCCGGCAGCTGCAGAGTCACCTCGTTGGCCATGGAGTCCTTCGGGTGGATGGCAGTCGGTTCAGCTGGCTGCAACTGTCAACCGGAGTTGGCACACATCGGATGGAAGAAAACGTACATGACAGATTCTGTCTTTTCCCAGTTCCCAGGGGCATGGAGTACCGTTGCAGCGGATGGATGGGGCTTGGGGAGAATGTCACATCATGGGTGGCATCTCGGAGGGGTGTGTGATATTGGCCGTCGAACCTAGCCGCCACGCCCGATGCTGTCCAGAAGCTTGGGCACTCGTGGATATGCATGTAGCTGCACCTTGTCTCGGCCCTGGAGCCATCACATGGGGAGGTTGATCTCGCCTTCATTGTTCAGAGGGGAATCTGTTCCTCTCCACTCCACCATCAGCCTCTATCCAGGGTTGACCGAGGCTGTCCGGTGGGGGGTGTTCCTTGTGACGAAATAACTGATCAGCTGAAGAGATGGCATATCCAAGACTTGACTGGATCAATGGAGAATGGAATCGAGGAGAAGAAGCAATCTAAGGAGAGGTTGAAGTCGGAGAGAGGCCCCTCCTTCCCTGGGGGAATGTATGCATGACTAAGCGTCCAGAGGGCGACAGATATCGAGGGAATTCACATGTGATCACCTTACAGGATATTGTCACGACAAGCCTCATTACTTGCCAGGTCAGATTCAGCCCTCGAAATTCGAGCTGTTTTTCTCTTCCCTTTTCGATCTTGCATTCATTCGTCACCGTCTTGCCGAGGGTGATGACGGACCCCTGGCGAGCTGGCGAACCGTCCGATCGATCTGCAAACTCCGTATGTTTAAGCCCCCCCTGTTGCTACGACTGCTGCAGGGGACGGGGGGGGTGTTGAGTAGTCGGTGATTCGGTGAACAGAATCCAGTCGAACTTGGTACATACCTAGTGTTGCCCTGCTGAGATGGAGCGCCAGGTACATGGACATGTAGCATCGACAGTGCGCTGAAAACACGAACCTGGAATCGACTCTCAGCCTCGCAGGCTGTCCTGGCACCCTGGCATCGTCACATTGGGAACAGGGAATCGCCAATACTCTGCCTCACTTAGCTTCTTGCGGCCATGCATGGGTCTGGACCTAGCCCTAGCTCCAGCTCTTGCTTGCTTGCTCGCATTGCCGAGCAGACATGTTTCGTCCTCTTGTTCTCCGGATATAATAAGAATATCCGCCTTGCAATGCGTGAAGAATCCCTTCGACAGAACACCAAACTGCTGCTAACTCTTCAGCAGATGCCAGTATAGTAGTGCTAAAGCACGGCGTTTGAAGCCTGGGGTCCGCCGGAAACGTGGCGACTTGGGTCCCTGTCTGTTCGTACAGTAGCTCGATCATGGCAGCATCGCAAGTGGAGCTACCGAGGCGTTGACAGCTTGATGGAGCATAATCCTACCCGTGGCCCTGCTCGCCCGTCATGGTTCGCAGCGGCCCTCCGTCCTTCCCTCCTGATTGCAGGGCTAGCTTCAACGGGGATACGGCCCGAGACTTTAGACAAGGACCGACAGCAAGAGACTGACGAGGCTGCTGGATACTGTTCTCCATGTTGGTGCGAGTTGGTTGTGGACTCATGTGGCTTCACAGCGCTCAAGGATACATGTCGACAGGGGCAGGGGAAATGGCCGGGCAGGGCAGCATGTCTCGGCTTCGTCATGCACTAAACGGTCATCACAGTCGATATTCTAGCTTCGTAACGGCCTTTTTCGACTGCCAACAGTCAGTTGAAACTTGAAGGTTGCGGAGATGCGATTGAAGCCATCCATCCAGCGCCCTCAATGCCCCCCCTCTTTCTCCCAGAACCTGTAAGAGCTCGCTCCATAGCCACCTGAACAGAGAGGGGCGCAGGGAGCATGGAGGGTGCATCGTTATCAGACGACGGGGTTACAGTCAAACACGAAACCATGACTCCCTCGGCAGCTGAAAGACTCAGACTGAAGATTGAGACGTCATTCAACCGTTCAGCCCTGGAAGCACCCATCCCCTCGTCCGACGGTCTTGATACTACGCGCGATTTGCTCTCGATGGCTGCGGGCTATTACAACTCTCGCCTGACCAGACACACGATATGCCGTCGCTTTATGTATTGCGGCTGTGGAGCTGAGTTCGTCTGCATGAAGGTCCGCAGCGACGCCGCTCTCATCACAACCTGCCCCATGGTTGGGTTGCAATGAACTTGAACAGCCCCGATTCCGTTTTCTCCAAAGACTCTGTCATTGACACAGCCCTGGCATCCAATATTGGAACGGTCACATCACCGGAGGTTTGCTTCGGCCAACAGCAACGATTCAGGTTGGCGGCGTCCGGATGCCTCGTCACATTGACAAGAGAGTCCTCTTTGTTCCCCTTTATTTGGAGACATGTGATGGGTGAATTCTGGCAAGAAAGCGACGCAGTTTTTAGTTCGTGTAGTTGACTGGGCCTATTCCATCACTGTGAATGTCTCAGTCGACGGCATCCTTCATATTGATCGTATATGGATGTCAAACCATGTTATCGCCGCGTTGCGAGATAGTACAGAGTAGACTTGGTAGGTTAAGAACTTTTCGTTGATGTACTTGGATCCGACGGTTACAGTTGTCTAAATTGGGTTGCATTTGCCCACATATGACCGCCATCCACGGCATCTGCAACTCGTTCCTGCTTTTGAGCCATTTCTTGCGATTAGCAGCACACATGTTCTGTTCCGGCTTCAAGAAAATGACCGGCAGATCCTCCTTCCGGCGACGAGGGGATTCCAGTAGTCGTTACGTGATGCTTTCAAATCTGCTGGCCCAAGAGCGTGATATCCTTGATGCTATTCCAGAAGTTTGTCTTCAGCATGTGACAGAACCAACAGGAACCACGTTTTGGTCCTTCACGTTGTTCGGCACTTGATGGCAGTCCACCAACAAAGCAAGTCACCCAACAACCCTCGACCAAGATCCCGGTCCAATGTGACGGGACGGGCACAGGTGACGACGACTCTTTCCCCCCTCGCCATTCTTCCGCGGCCCAGAATTTTGTCTTGCCCGGCGTCGTCACATCGGCGAGTGACGACAACAACGTAGCTGGAGTTACATCGCTGCCTCGCTACCGATCCGGCAGCCCGGTGTTTGTGCTCGTTATTTGCGGATGGTAAGAAGCTTGACATTGAGGAGACGGTGGAGAAATGCTTGGCCTCGTCTGTCCATAGAGTCGGATTCCATGGCCAGTTCCTGCATGTTGCCTCGCTTAAAGAGTTGGAATGTTATCAATCGTGGACATGTGCATATGCAGATTAAGCCCTGCTTGGACCATCTGCCGAAGGAATGATGTGCATCTACCCGAATGAGTTGCGAAACCAACAACTGCGGGAAGGCCCAACAGCTGTTACCAGACTGAAGTTGTTTCATCACTCAGCCTTGATATGAGTCGTCAGATATGTTTCCTCTTCATGAAATCCAAATCACCTCGATTCGTAATTGTCGTCTTGCCGATCGAGGTTTCCCAGCGGCTCTCGCGCCAAAGTTTCACTCCGCAAAAAGCCAGGGTTGCTGCCATGAGCTAACAGGGGGGGCACGGAATGCCTGTCTCCTCCATCATGAGGTCTCGGATTTCCGTGACGAAGTTGACACATAGGCCGCCAGACTGCCGCGCCCGTCTTCGTAGTTGAGTCACCACCGGAGAATGCCATGCTCTCAGGCGAGTGAGTCTTGCATGATCCGTGGGTCCACGCATACGCATACCATAGTTGCAGCTTCAGGGGGGGTCCCGGATCGTCTGCTCAAATTGGCCAGGAACCCGGCTCAGCCGGGCAAGGGTTTTCGTTTCCAAGTTGTCATCGTAATGCATTGTTTCCCATCAGCTGATTCTTCAATGTCTTGAATACTCGTATTCCATCCAATCGCGGCAGTGCAGGAGTTCATATCACAGCGATGATCTTGGCGGAGGGTTAACATCCGGCCAGGCTTCACCTGGGGCATCTCAGCCTCATCATCGGGTTACGTCGGGGCAAGCCTGGTAGTTCAGTCGAATAGTAACTTGAGCTAGGTTTAGACCGTCGTGTACAGCTTGGTGATCCGAATACATTGTGGAGCTTCGCATCACGAGCTGCTTTTGCTTCAGCTACTCCGTAGTCGCCGTTCAGCCAGGCTTCTTCGGCGACTCTATCAGACCGAATCTCCATTCGCAGTTGTATGCTGGCTCTTTCGGCCACTGCAAGTTGATATGTGGATCTGTATTCATATTTTTTTCGTTTTCCAGCCAAGAGGAAGCACAAGGGCCGTGTATCGCAAGTTCAAGCTCGAAAATAGATGCCTCCATGGAAGTAGTTGTCTGTAGTAGTCAACTCAGCTATCACTTCTTCCACGTATGCCTCTTCTCATGAGCGAACAAAGCTAGCAAAGTCTCGGAAGATGCCTGCAAGACTGTAAGTTAATCATGGTTATGACCTGTAACAACATGTGTTAAATCTTTGTCAGTAGAACAGCGGGGTGCAGACAAAGACTGAAGCCACCAGCCAATTCACCTTAATGAATTTCAAATGCCATAGGGCACCAGGAATAAAAGTTCAAGCATCTTCTTTTGGCCGCAACCGGCCTTCCCGCTAAATATACACATTGGGATCGTTCTTCCTCGCCTAGTTGCCGCCCGCCACCCGCTCCGCCTCCAGTTCCCTCTCGGCCTGCTGGTAGTACTTGGCCGTGTCGACGCCGTGCTGGTTGTGGTTGACAAAGTTGAACCACGGTACTGTGCTGAAGAAGAGGGCCGAGTATCTGCTCTGGCGGGCCGCGACGCCCTGCAGGTGCGGGCTCAGCCTGCTCTGGCCGTACAGGGGCTCTCCCGCCTTGACCTTGGCGACCATCTCCCGCATGTCCATCTCCACTTCCCTCGCGTTTTCGGTGGCGCCGTAGAATCGGACTGTGAATCATAGTCAGAATATCGGTTTCAGTCGTCAAGGATCCCCCACAGCTTTCTGCTTGTTCTCTCCCCCTCTTCCCCTCCCCCGCACATGAACTCCGGATGTAGAAGACTCGAGGAAGACGTACGGGCTGATCGCTGGTAGAAGTAGAGGAAACCGCCGGCCAGACCAATGAATCCGGCCAGCCGCATGGCCTTGGCAAAGCCTCCCCTGCCGACGTGCGACGGCGCGAGCCTCTCGAGGGCGTAGAGAGCGGCGGGTGCAAAGGCCGCAGAGGCCGCACCAGCTACGTAGTCTGACGTTCTCGCATATCGAATAACCCGCTTGAAGTGACTGCCCAGGCATCCGTCAGTATTCGTATTCGTCCAGCTCCCAGCTGCCTCGAGCACCGCCCAGAAGATTGTCTCGCAATATCAAAGAGGGAACACGTACGGATCGTTGTCGATGAGCTAAAATATCCCCAATCAGTCAGTCACTCGTCGTCGTGCAGCCAATTGAGCGCCAATTACATACCGGATAGCTGGTCTCGACGACCTTGCTGGTCCCGACGAAAGACGACGGGGTCTGCTTGGTCACTGTCGAAGCCATTTTGCTGGTAGTTTCGCGACCCCGAAAATTGCAGCTACTCAATTGGATCTCGAGATCTGATGCCTGTCGCTGCGACTTGCGATTGTTAGTGCCTCAGGAAACAAGGAGATCACGTGGTTTGCGGGATGCTCGAACTCGAAGCTGATCACGTGAATCAATTAAAGCTGGTGGGTACATACCTTGGGAGCTGCGACGCGCTGCCCCGCCATGATTGAGAGGGAAGACGCGTCTGGTATAGCGATTTGTTAAAGAGGAAGATAGAGAGTTGATATAACCAACTGAAGACAATTGCACGCAACAAAAAGCCCCAAAAAAAATATAATTCAGGGGGAACACAATCATCATGCCCTCAGCCGCGGCGTTTGAGCGCTTGCTGGACCATGGCGACGATCTAGACGACTACGGCCTCGACTCAGACAACCCATTCGCATCTCCCCCACCAGAATCGTCCACCAAGAAGCGAAAAGAGCCCGACTCTGGGCTGGGAATTGAGGAGGAGGTTTCAGTCCAGAAACGTGCGCGAGTGCCAGCTGTCAAGCTTGACGAAGAGAGGTACTACCTATATATCCTATGCAGCAATAACTACCTGGATCAAGCATCATGCGTGTAAGTGAGAATGTGCTAACTCCATCGCCAGACTGCTGGGCCCAGATGGTATTCCAAAGCTGAGAAAACGAGCCGCCGGCCTCAAACTAAAAGGCAAGGGTCACGAGGTATGCATTCTCAAGCCTCAATCTTCCTTTCCCATCGCATACGCTGACTTTGACGCATAGTTCTCCGACGCCTCTCGCCTCCTCTCCTTCTACCAGCTATGGCTGGACGACCTCTTCCCTAAAGCCCGGTTCCTCGACGCCCTCGCCATGGTCGAAAAAGCCGGCCACAAAAAGGCCCTCGTGACTGGTCGAAACGAATGGATCAACGAAGGGCGTCCCAAAGCGAGCAACGACGATGAAGACGATGACTTTGACTTTGGGACTGTCGCCATTTCAGGAGACTCGCAGGCTGCTATTGCACAAGACACACAGCAGAGGACACAAAGGACGCCAGAGAGGGATAATGACGTCCCTGATGATGATGATCTATACGACGCTACTCCTCGGGCGCCAAGGTCGACAAATGCGCTTCGTGTTGCGGCGCCGTCAAACGATGCCCCCGACGATGACGACCTGGAGGCGCTCATGGCTGAAGCCGAAAGCATGGACAGCCGGCCAGGTCCGGGTGCTCCTACAGCCACTGCCGTCACGAAGCAAAGGAATCAGCCTGCAGAAGAGGAAGACGATGATCTTGATGCCCTCATCGCCGAGGCAGAGGAGCAGGATCGATCCAGCGGGCAGCCGACCGGGAAGAATACGGGTAGCAGCAGCGCTTCAGCAGGCAAGGGGCACGATTTTGCGGACGAGGAGGAAGCCATGCAGGAGATGGAGGGGCTGTGGTGAGACTTCTGGAACGAAAGTGATGGTCTGTTGTGTCATGGATGGATTGCGACAATTAGGGACATTGGGCTGGCGTCTGGGGAGTGATTTCTGCTTGTTTTGATTGGCGTTGAAGGGATGAGGAGATAATTTGATCATGACTAGATATAGGTATATATGGTTTACAGATTTAGGATAAGCACTACATGGTACTATTACAACTCGATGCTACTACTCCGTACTCCGTGCTACTCATGCGTGTTGTTTCGCACTAATGTTCCGCACAGATCACGGCATCGATTTCCGTAAAGTCAGGTACTACTTCGTGCGTTTCCCAACGATGTGGTTTGATGTCACAGTTTGCAGAGCGGAGGACTGTATTCACTTTGAATGAAAAGTAGATCATGTAGAATAGTAGGCGTTGTATTTTTGGTACAGGATATCATCACTACCATCTAGAAAAAGAGTAAAGGGGATGAAGAGATCATATCATAAAAAAGGCTCATTTTAGCCTTGTCATCGTCCTCGCTTTGCGCCGTACCCTTGAAAAGGCAGCCAACCCTTGTTGCCGCTGCCTTGTGCCATCCGCCCATTGCCCTATTAAAACACATATGCTAAACTACTACTTTGAAAACGAAGGAATCTGGTGATGGTGGTGTTGTTGTCGGCGTTTGTCTGTCGAGGCGCGCTTCTCGGGGTCGAGAGCCGCGGCCTGCTTCTTGTGCTGCTTCAGGCGTATCCTCCTCTCCTCTACCTTCAGGGCCCACCACAGGGTGATGAGGACCTCTCTAGACGGCAAGGCCACGCTGCGTAGGCACCGTTCCAGCTCGCTGTCGCCGCGCGTCGCACAAGACTCGGAGGCCGGGATCCCGCCCCGATCGTCGCGTCCCTCAGACACCAACCGCAATGCCGCCATCGTCGCATCCATGAGAGGACGCGCCAGACTGGGGCTGCTGGATAGAATGTCTCGAAGGGATCTGATTCTCAGGGTCGTGGATCTCGAGGTCGAGCTCGTGGTCCGCAGCGGCATAGTTGCTCGCTGCCACAATGTCATAGGCGGCGTGGTTTGCGTCGTCTGTGAGGAAGTCGTTGATGTCGAAGTCGTAGTCGGAGGGGAGAG